CAGGCAGAGGACGAACTACAAACAGTGACTACATGCCAGGATATTTGATTTAGGAGTTTCTTCTCGTATCGAACACTAACCTACTGAAACGTTTAAAATAAAACGGAATAATTATAATGTCACGTCATCGATCAGAATTACTTTATTTCAACTCCAGAGAATTTTTTACGTCGAAAAGCTGAAGTAGATATCCAATTATTTGTTCCATTCTGGTTGCAGGGAAAGGTTCACCATATTTTCAAGGATCTTGGTCAGTTGGGCCAACTGTGAGGGCAAGATTCTACATTAGAGCGGCAAATAGCAAACTGTACATTATTTTTACACAAACCAGGCAATAGTCTTGGCACGTTAATCTCATATTCACGCTCTCATATCTGAAACTGTTTCAGCTCCATGAGTTTTGTACTCATGTATCTTTAATTTTAAACATGTCTGCGCAATGGCTTGGGATGATTGGCAAACAGCCATTGTCCTACTATCCAGCTAAAAAACTTGACACTTGAAAGGCGCGGTTGGTGACATGATATAAGGTACAAGCGTTGGGACGATGTAGAGATTAGACATGCGAAAAGTTCATATAATCTTGTATCAAAAACTTGTATTATGTTCACATGCTGCTGTGGGCTTCAGAACAATGATCGTTGATTGATACGACTTAATTGTCGTTTTCACCCTTATCCCCTTTTTTAATTGTTCAGCCAGCCTTCCCTGTTCCTTTGCTCTCTTCGACCATACATCGTCTAGCGAGATGGACCAGGGAAGCGAAACACATCCACTGTAGCGTCCATCCATCTGTCATTATGAGAACAACTTTAGCGAGGCAGTTCACTCAGGTGAGTCAGTTTTCTAACGGAAGCTTAAAAACTGTTATGTTCAGGCAACCTTTTGGTGTAGAATAACATTCTAAAAAAATTTAAAATAATTTCAATTAATTCTTTTGCTGTTCATCAGCTAAATCACGTAATTTTGCTTTAAAAGGAGGCACTAATTATCGTTTTAATTGTGTACACGATTCATGGCAAATAATTTTTGCAATAAATATCGAAATTAAAACGAGTGAATTGTTATCCTTACAAATCCAAACGTTAAAAAATGAAACATTAC